CCCGTTCTCTCGTCTGCATGTCTGGGTTCGTTCACTCAGAAGCCCCTACTGTCATTTTCGATTTTATCCTGTCCACAGCAGCCCTTGACTTCATCTCAAGGCTGGCGTCCGCGGGTGCTTTCGCGGCCATCCATCCGCCACAGCTGCCAACATGTCGAAATTTGCTTAAAATCTACATTTAAGAGGCCGGTGTAATGTCTGGATTTCAACGAGGGTTCATGGCCTTGCCGTCTCGCTCCGAGGTTCCATTTCCGGGTGCGCGTGTGACCCATTTACAAGCAGCGTGCTTCCGTCAGTGGTCGGGCCATCGATAGGAAATCCCTGACTGCCAGCGGCAGTCACCGACGTTTTCATGGAGCTGGACGGCGTCCGGTTCTCGGCGAGGCGGAAGACGCGCTTGATGATCTTATCTACGACCGCCGGCTTAGCAACAGAAAGGTCACCAGGGACTGGATTGCAGCCCAAGCGCGGTTGATGTTTCATGAGGGCCGTTCCGAAGAAGCTCACGAAGAGCATCCGATCCGTTTCGCAGCTTCCGACCCGTGGGTACAGCCTCAGACTTCGGTGTCATACAAATCTCACTATGCTCATGGATGATATGTTAATTGGTCGTGCGATATCGTTTATGCGCTTCCTAACAGAGCACAAGCCCTCCATTAACTTTGGAAAGACGGTACTCATGGATGAAACCGCTATCTTTTTTTTCGAAGACCCCGACTTCCGTTTTCCGTGTTAGGAAATACAGCACAATCAAATAGAGCGCCATACTTCCACTTTTAGGGTCCTTTATAACTATAGTGGACGGTGCACTAATACCTTTTCTACGTTATATGCACTCCCCTAAAGTACGTGCTGAACTAACACACACAGATCCTTGCTACGTTTCAGCAGCATACTGTGCAAATATCGGCCTTTTGTGCAACCTGGCTTGCAACCCTATTTTGATTGGTTAATACTAGTGCTGATGACTGTGTTGAAGGTGCACAAAGCGGTAACTACACACGCAGAGTAGGATGGCCGCCATTTCTTACGATCCGCACGAGGGGCCACCAAGATACTTGACACTGAGAGCTGCCTACCATAGACTGAATATACCTTGTCTATCGCTGCGCCACTGGTAAAACATGAGCGCACCAAGCTAGCGACTACGTCCAGAACACTTTTCGCCTAGAGAAGGCGAATTTGCTCGCACCACGCTCAATTACCGTAAAGTCTTTTGCTGCTTTCAGGTCACCGCATCCGACCTGGTATTCGTGCCAAAGTTCGAATAAATATTTCGGCCGCTTTGAAAGTACAGCCGTAGACGCTCGGCGAGTCGGAGGCGGATTAGGTGGAGATGTAGTTATATCCTGCGTAATAACGTCGCGCCGAAAAGATGGCTGCATGGCAATTCGCTTTAGTATGGCCTGAATCTTCTGTAGCTCTCATTGGTTCTTTCGCCGTAAACGCATGACTTCGTCCAGCACTTCGGCTGTTTGGCGTCGCTCTGCTCCAATCTGCGAGGGAAGGGCTGCTAATTCACGGCGACTACCATCTTCGAGTACAGCGCTACCACAGCACGAACCTCGTGAGCTCTCGCTTGTACTGGATGTCATAGTGCTGGGGCTTGTGGCGTTCTTTTCTTTCTTTGCAAACTTCTGGCTTGATCTCACTTGGATTTTGATATCTGGTTCTACACTAAGTACGTTTACAACCTGACTTGCTTTTTGTATCAGATTGGGTTGCAAAACTGACCTGAACCTCCCACCGTGTGAACAACTCAAGTTGCAATCACCACCCCACCGTTTCGCGCTGTACAAGGCACAATTGTGGTCTATACGCTACGTGCAGCCAATCAGAGATCAGGATTTTCAAAAATACAACCTTGGTTGCAGATGGCCGATAATGTAGAAATATCTGCCTTTTGTGCAACCTGGCTTGCAACTCTATTTTGATTGGTTAATATTAGTGCTTACGACTGTGTTGAAGTGCACAAAGCGGTAACTACACACGCAGAGTAGGATGGCCGCCATTCTTACGATCCGCACGGAGGACCACCAAGATACTTGACACTGAGAGCTGCCTACCATAGACTGAATATACCTTGTCTATCGCTGCGTCACTGGTAAAACCTGAGCGCACCAAGCTAGCGACTACGTCCCAGAACACTTTTGGTCTAGAGAAGGCGAATTGCTCGCACCACGCTCGATGGCCGTAAAGTCTTTTGCTGCTTTGGGTAAAAAACCCCGCATTCGGACGTGGTATTCGTGCCAAAGTTCGAATAAATATTTCGGCCGCTTTGAAAGTACAGCCGTAGACGCTCGGCGAGTCGGAGGCGGAATAGGTGGAGATGTAGTTATATCCTGCGTAATAACGTCGCGCCGAAAAGATGGCTACATGGCAATTCGCTTTAGTATGGCCTGAATCTTCGGTAGCTCTCATTGGTTCTTTCGCCGTAAACGCATGACTTCGTCCAGCACTTCGGCTGTTTGGCGTCGCCCTGCTCCAATCTGCGAGGGAAGGGCTGCTAATTCACGGCGACTACCATCTT